CTGATAACCGAGTTAAAATAAGAAGAACCAGAAAAATGAAACACACAATGATTATGACAATGTAAATGGAAAGAATAAAAAGAGAAACTAAATGCTTGTAATTTTAACGACCAAGCTGGGTCTTGGATAAGAAAATGTAGTTCCCTTAGTTCTTTGCAGAGGTGGGGGAATATGTATATGGAACACTGTACACACTATCAGACTCAGTTGATTGTTGGTTAGTTTTATTTAATTCTGATTGAGTGATTTGCCTAACTCTGTTTCATGACCTAAGTGATATTATACAACTTGTTACCTGACTTTTGGTGCATAAGAGACATAAAAGAAAGACTGGTTGAAGAGAAACCTGTGGAGAATTACATTAGCTGTCAGTTATAAAGACTTATAAATGGAACAATTACTTAAATTGAAGTTCTCATAAGTCAGACTATGGAAAGAGACTCACAGGAGATGGTGAGCTCCTCGAGAACAGGGATTATTGTAGGTTTTTCCCCCTTTATTTACATTCCCAGTTCTTAGCACACTGTCTGGCACATGTTCTCATTGCTGTTGTTCCGTCATTTCAGTCGTATTGGACTTCTTGTGACCCCATGTGGGGTTCTCTTGGTAAAGTTACTGGAGTGGTTTGCCATTTTGTTCTCCAGCTCATTTTACAGGTGAGGAAACTGAGGTAAACAAGATTAAGTGACTTGCCCAGGGGCATATAGCTAGTAAGTATTTGAGGCACTGGCACATAGTGGTGCTTAATAAATGCCAGTTGATTGACTTTTGATTGTAAGTTAACCTGAAATCCTAGAGCTGGGAACTAACTTGAAGATAAAGATTCAGGTTGAACTGTGTCCAAAGAGCTACAAAACTGTGCATACCCTTTAATCCAACAATACCACTAATAGGTCTGTATCTCAACGAAATCATAAAAAAAATAGAAGGACCCACATGTACCAAAATATTTATAGCAGCTTTTTTTTTTTGTGGTGGCAACATGTTAGAAATTGAGCAGATGCCCATTAATTAGGGAATGGCTAGGCAAATTGTGTGCATGAATGTAATTGAATACTATTGTTCTACAAGAAATGATGAACAGGTGGATTTCAGAAAAACCTGGAGTTACATGAACTGATGCTGAATAAAGTGAGCAGAACCAGGAGAAACTTGTACATAGCAATAGCAACATTGTGTTATGATTAACTATTACAGGCTTAGCTTTTCTCAGCAATACAATGATCCCAGACAATTCTGAAAGACCTGTGATGGAAAATGCTAAACACATCCAGAGAAAGAACTATGGAGTCTGAATGCAGATCAAATTATACTATTTTAACTTCTTTTGTTTTTTCTTTCTCATGTTTTTTTCCTTTTGTTATGATTCTTCTTTCACAACATGACTAATGTGGAAATATGTTCAACATGATTGCACATGTATATAACCTATATAAAATTGCTTGTTGTCTTGGGAAGGGAGGGAGGGAGAAAAATATGAAACTCAAAATTTTACGGAAATAAATGTTGAAAACTATCTTTACATGTAATTGCTAAAAAATGATATTAAGAAAAAAAAAGATTCAGGTTGAGTTAAAAAGGAACAATGCAATCAAATATGATGATAAGACCAGTAAAGTATTTGAAGACAGGAAGTATGGGATTTGTTCATAATTAGTTATAAATGTATCTTAGTTTTTGCTTGGTTTATAAGCTTAATTTAGCATGTATCACCTTTGACATAGTGCTTGGTAATGTTATTAGCATCTCCCTCTTTTAAAGAAACTTTGCATGAGTATTTAATACTTGTAGATGATACAGTTGCATAACACATGTCTTGTAGGGCTGTGGCTTGGAGTCACTGCTGTAGGATACTGTATCTTTGCCAGTCACCAGGTAATGCCTTTACTTAAATTAGCTCATTGAGAACTCAGCAGGCCTGACTGGATTTCCACCAGGATTAAACCCTGACTCCAGCCACTTCTTAGTTTAGAGGTTCAAATTTAAAAATCTAGCCTTATAGAATTCACTTATTTGAAATAGAGACTAAAAGCTTTGTTATTATTCATTCATTTCAGTCATATCTGATTTCATGACCCCATTTGGGATTTTCTAGGCAAAGGTACTGGAATGTTTTGCCATTTCCTTCTCCAGCCCATTTTACAGATGAAGAAACTGAGACAAACAAGGTTAAGTGACTTGCCCATGCACAAAAAAACCTATTACATTAGAGGGAAAGAAGGGAAGGGAGTGAGCATTATTTTACTTTCATCACTTTTGGCTCAAACAGGGATTAACATACAAATTCAGTTGGCTGTAGAAATCTGTCTTACTCTATAGGGAAGTAGGAGGAGAAAGGGGAAAGAAAAGGAAGGGGAGTAGATAGAAAGGAGGACAGATTGAAGAATGTAGTGGTGAGAATCAAAATACTGGTGAGGGGAGAAAGGGTGAAAAGAGATAGAAAAATATAAATTGGGGGGAGTAAAGTGGGATGGACAGAAAGATGCAGTTAACAATCATAACATGAACATGAATGGGATGAAATCTATAAAACAGAAGTGGATGGCACAGTGGATTAAAAACCAGAATCCTACAATATGTTGTTTACAAGAAACACATTAGAAGCAGAGGGATACACACAGAATAAAGGTAAAAGGCTGGAGAAGAATATATTATGCTTCATCTGAGGTTAAAAAAAAGGTAGCAATACTGATCTCAGACAAAGCAGAAATAGATCTAATTAAAAGAGATAAGGTAGTAAGCTACATCTTGCTAAAAGGTACCATAGACAGTGAAGTAATATCAAATTACAACACTAATAATTCATTGTTGGTGGAGTTGTGAACTGATCCAACCATTCTGAAGAGCAATTTGGAACTATGCCCAAAGGGCTATAAAACTGTGCATACCCTTTTATCCAGTAATACCACTATTAGGTATGTATCCCGAAGAGATCATAAAAAAATGGAAAAGGACTCACATGCTCAAACATATTTTAGCAGTTCTTTTTGTGGTGGCAAAGAATTGGAAATTGAGGGGATGCCCATCAATTGAAGAATGGTTGAACAATTTGTGGTCTATGAATGTAAAGGAATACTACTATTCTATAAGAAATGATGAGCAGGTGGATTTTAGAAAAAAAAAATAACCCAGAAAGAGTTACATGAATTGATGCTGAGTGAAATGAGCAGAACCAGAGGAACATTGTAAAAGTAATAGCAACACTGTGTGATGATTAACTATGATAGATTTAGCTCTTTTCAGAAATACAATGATCTAACAATTCCAAAAGACTCATGATGGAAAATGCTATCTATATCCAGAGAAAGAACTATGGAGTCTGAATGAAAATCAAAGCATACTACTTTCTCTCTCTTTTCTCTTTCCTGTGTTTTTTCCCCTTTTGTTTTGAGTCTTCTTACACAACATGACTAATGTGGAAATATGTTTAATGTGATTATACATGTATAACCTATATTGGATTGCTTGTTGCCTTGGGCAGGGAGGGAGGGAGAAAAAAAATCTGGAACTCAAAATCTTATAAAAGTGAATGTTGAAATCTCAAAATAAGAATAAATAAATTTAAAGAGAATAACACTAGTGTTGTCATCAGAAAATCTGGGTTCAAATCCTATTTCTACTGGCTCCTAGCTGTGTGAAATTGCCACTTGTAGGTTCAAAGACCTGGAACTAATTAAAGTAATCATAACTAACTCCTTCACTTGACAAATGAGGAAACTGAGACATAAAGATGTGCCTAAGATCATACTGGTAGTAGGTTTCAGAACAAGGATCTGAATGAAGATGCTTTGACTCCAAATATGGTGTTCTTTCTGCCGCATCAAGGTGCCTACCTCTCTAAGCCAGTTTCTTCTAATTTAAAATGAGAATCTCTGGAATAGAAGATATCTGGACTAGAAGATTTTTATGACATTTTTCCCCCCAGCTTTAAATCCTTTGATTCTCTCTGGGTCTTGATTCCCTTTTTTATATATGACCAAGTCTATACAAAGGTTTATAAAGGTTTATACAAAGACCAGGGCTTTTTTGTAATGTCTATTCCAGCACTAATATTCTGTGAATCTCAATGCAGCCTAATGCCTTGATATACAACTATGCTATAAGACCCCCAGATAAGCAAATCTACTGATAGAAAAAACAAGCTGGGGGAAGTATTTTTCAATATAACTTATTCTCACCTCTGTGTTTTTGTATGCTCTTTCTTTGTCCAGAATGCTTCAACAGCCTTTCTTTTCTAAATCTTACCCGCTCTTTCAGGTCCCATTTAAGTTTAACCCACATAATAATCTTAATTCCTATAACAATTAATGTCTGAACTGATTTAACAATTAATTATAGACTGACTGTTATTGTGGAATCCTAAACTAGAGTGTGACCATAGAACCCTAGATTTAGCATGCAAATGGATTTTAGAATATAGGATCATCGATTTAGGGCTATACGCTAACTTAGAGGTCTTCTGGTCTACCAGCTTCATTTCACAGATCAATTGATTCAGTGACCTGTTTTAAGGATAGGGGCAGGTCTCTTGATACGAGAACCTAATACTCTCTCCACCCAACTTTACTCAAGCAAATGGGGACTTATGTCCCCATTAATGAGGAACAGTGCTAGGTACATAGTGGGAGTTTAAGAAATATCCAGGGAATTTATTGATTGATTGATGAGAACCTATGTGTAGTTCTTACATTATAAAACATTTTTTTCAATGTCTTTACTATTTATGAATTTTTAAAAAAAACATTGATACTAAGCATTTTAAAATGTATCATTTTAAAACTTGGAAAAACAGAAAATATTTGAGAATGTGAGATCTATATGAAATACAAAAACTATAGTGTGAATTTCTGGAAATCTATGTATATGAGTATTATTGCACTATTGGAGGGAAGGTTCTTGGGAGCTAGAGAAGAGGAGAAATTATGACTGCTTTAATATACATTCAGCTAAAACATAACATGAATTCTCAGTACCAATTCTTCCCATCCTTCTATATGCAGCCTAAATTTCATCTTTTCCATGAACTCTTCACTGACCAGCCCATTTGGAAACAATCTGGACCTCATCTGAAATCCATGGTATTTTGTTTATGTCACTCATGTGGTACTTAATTCATCTGCCTTGTATCCTTGTTGATTTGTGATTCTGTTTTACCTTTTTGGTTAGATTGTAAGCATCTGAAGGATATGGATGGTATCTTATTCATAACTCTGTTTCCCACAGAGCCTTGCACATTACTCAGAAAAGTACTTGTTTAATGAGGGAATGAAAGTTTTCAGAACCAGAAATGGAAATTCTAGAATTTAGAATCATGGTCCCTCTTCCGGGTGGCTGCTCTGAAGGGCCATTCCATTAATTGAATAAACATTACACAAATATTTGCTGAATGCCTACTCTGTGAGGGACACTTTGGTGGAAACTACAGACATGGTTCTTGTCTTCATTGAGTCCTGAGTTTAGTATGAGATAAGAGAGAAGCACAAATAATCATAACATAGATTGTTATATGATTAAGGTAACAGAAAATGAAAAAAAAAACAAGGTGCTATGGGAGGTATGAGGAAAAGGTCACACTGTCTCAGAGAGTCAATTGTCAGTAAAGATTTTTTTAAGGAATATATCTTCTTTTGCATACATTTCCAACATTCTTTGGCCCTTTGGAGTAGGAAATCTTATAATCTACAGGACTATTTTCCACAGAAGAAAAAATAAGAATAAGGCCTATCATCCCTTGCATCTCAGATGTACAGAAGAAGACAAGTTTTCACAATATACCCCTACCATGAAGGTTTTGTTTCTTATTATAAAGGATGAATACTTCTTTCTACAAATTCCACAGTCTTAATAACTATACAAGAGTCTAACTTCACCGATCATGGGACTCTATACTCTCAGTACAAGTAAAAATCAGATCTAGGGACCTGGATTAATCCTAGGAAGGTGTTGCCACTCATACTTGGCCAGTTTTGTGTATATCAGATAAACCAAAATATGATCAGTGAAAATAAGGGTTCTCATAAGAGGAAGAGATGAGGAAAGGCTCATAATTCTCCAGCTATTTCCAAACTCTTGTCCTTGGTTGCAAGAACTAAATAAAAATGGCAGGGTGTGGTGCTCCTATCCCTTGTGCCCTTCTTTCCTCCTGCATGGAAATAGTTAATGATCAGCAGCTGGGCTTGTTGCAGCACTAGGGGAAACAGATTTCTCAGTATGACTCTAGTTACTGGATGTTAGATGCTCGTAAAGTGCTCTTTCTGAACGAAAAGGTAATTACAGCATTTAATAGCAACTCCAGTAAGTGTGTTTTATAAAACTTTATTTTCTTTTCTTCAGCTAATAGAAATACACCCATACACAAATCCAGATCCTTCACTGATCCACGCTGCCTTTGGATACAGTATCTAAAGTAATAATCCCTTGAGGAATACTTCAGAGCAAAAAACAAAACAAAGCATAAGAAAAACACAAGCAAGCAAAAAGACACCTGTTAGTTACTCTTGTTCCAAAGATTCAGTTCTTCTGGATGGCAGCTCAGGACATTCTCTGGATTTTTGACCGGACAGGACAGCTTAGTTATCTGTCCCTTGCAGCCATCCAATTGTACCTCTGAAAATACTTGTCAAATTCCTAAGTCTAAGGTTTTGTTGCAAAAAGAAAAAAAAAGAATTTAGCATGAGCTGAAACTATCATAGCTTTAGTGCTGAATTGGGAGACAGAAATCCATGACTATGTCCCTCCCCAGACTACTTACTCAGTGACCTCCAATAAGAAAGTAATTCAGCATCTTTGAGTTTTTAATTCTTTCTATTAGTTAAATTAGACTAATAATAGGCACCTCCTCCTTGACTCAGAAGGATGATAAGAAAATTAAATTCAGAAAAGCATTTTGATATCCTCACAGAAAGGCACTCTATGAAAAGCTGGTTCTATTATCTTTCCCTATCCAATGCTTCTCCATTAGAAGATTTTTAATTGATTTAAATTCAATTAAAAAATTTACAATGTTCAAGACACTGTGTTTAATACTGAGATGTTGAGATGATGAAGTCTTTGACCTCAATTAGCTTTCAGTGTAAAAGTGGTGAGGGGCTGAGCTGGGTCAGGGCAGGGCATGGGAGCTAGATATGACATAAATGTAAATTTGAATGAAGCAATGTAGAATATGATAGAGGCAGAACAGAGATCCAGGCAAAGTGTTAAGGAAAATTTAAGGATGGGACAGATCACTTTCATTGGAGGTGGTGGTTGTTCAGTCTTTTCAGTCATGTCAGGCTCTTCATGACCCCATTTAGGATTTTCTTGTCAAAAATACTGGAGTGGCTTTTCCATTTTCTTATCCAGCTCATTTCACAGATGAGGAAACTGAGGCAAACACAGTTAACTGTCTTGCCTATGATCAAAGAGCTAGTAAATTTCTGAGGCTGGATTTGAACTCAAGTCTTCCTGACTCTAGGGCCAGAGTTCTATTTAGCACCATGTAGTGGCCTTCATTGGGACAGGGAGGAAGATAAAGAAAGGGAAGTATTTCCCTCAGTGTATTTGGAGGGGAAGGGTGCTGAGTCCATTTCAGTAATGGGGAACTTCACAGAAGGTTAGCTGAGAATAGAGGACTGCAGTAGAATATTGAATCTTTTAAGGGAAATAATATATATTTTAGAATCAGAAAACATCTTAGAAATCATATTGCTCATTTTACAAATGAGAAAAGTAAGTCCAAGGAAATGACATGACCTCCCTTAGGTGATCCAAGTAGTAATAGAACCAGATTTTGAATTCAGGTTCTCTGATTCAAATAATGTCCTCTTTTCTTGAATCTCTATCCTATTTATATTTGTATTTTAGCCCACAATAATCTTTCCCTTCTCCAACTCTTTTTGTAATTATTGTTTTGTTCATTAATTGATGTATCTATGTCTTCTTCCCCCCAACACATTATAAACTCCTTGAGGGTAGAAACCAGAATATCACTCTTTTATATCCTCTATAGTATCTAGTGTCACATTATGCCCATTGTAGAATTCATGTATCTGTAGAAGAAACTACCCTCAGAGCAAGGGATACTAAGAATATATCGGAGAATTTTGACAAAGTGTGAACAACTGCATACTTCAGAGGCATCAGTTTGCTTGATGTTGAGGATTATATTCCTGGCTTTTTTTTCTTCTTCACAAAGTGTCATGATATTCCTTAGATACTAGTAAGTGTGAAAGAGGAAATACATCTGGGTAGGGTGAAGTAAGAATGGCATATATATTGTTAGAGAATGTAAGCTATTTGAAAGCAGGGAATGTTTCATTTTTTTTAATCTTTTTTTGATCACTTTCATGGGAGGTGGTGGTTGTTCAGTCTTTTCAGTCATGTCAGGCTCTTTGTGACCCCATTTAGGGTTTTCTTGTCAAAGATGCTGGAGTGGCTTACCATTTTCTTATCCAACTCATTTCACAGGTGAGGAAACTGAGGCAAACACAGTTAAATGACTTGCCTATGATCAAAGAGCTGGTAGATTTTTTGATGTTTGATCTTTGTGTGCCTAGGACCTGGCACATTGCCTGATGTATAGTAGGCACTTAAGAAATGCTTGATGAATAAATGAATAAATAAATGACAAAGAGGTAATGTTTGTGATCTATGTTACTTAGTATAAAGAACTATAGTTTGCATGTGAGGGAGAAAGAGGTGAAGAGAGGAGGAGGAAAAGGAGGAGGAGGGGAAGGAAAAGAAAGAATAGTATCATGAATGAGAATCATTTGAATATGTGTGTATGGGGGGGTATTGTTGGAAGCTTGGGAACCTAAGTGGTTTGAGCTTTGAAGTGGAGAGAAGAGAGGAAGAGGTGGAAGTAGAAGAGAAGAAAGAGGAGGTTAATGACAGAAAATGAATCTTTGGAGAAGAAAATAAGAGAGTTATAGGGAGACAAAGGTAGAGGCTGAGAGAGGAATTAGGTTAGGAGAGTGATTTGTGAGTTAAAGGAGGAGATTCAATGTGAGTTATAAATTTAATCGGTGATCTTTGCAGGTGCCCAGAGATTTGCTATGAGTATACTTGCGCTGTTTGGTTGAACTTTATTCGGTGTTTTAGTGACCACCCCCTCAACTTGAACAAGGCAGCACCATAAAGTGGAAAGAGCTGAATTTGGCATCAGAGAATATAGGTTCAGTTCCTACCTCTGTCACTCTATAACCTGTATAACATTGGTTTGGTCACTTAACCTCTCTAGGTATCAGTATCCTCATTTGCAAAATGTGCTTTTTGGATGAGATGCCCTCTAAGGTCCCTTCCATCTTGAAATCTATGATTCCATAATCCTTATTTAATGATACCAGACTTAGGAGGTCTTGATAAGAAATCATGATAACATTTTGTCTGAATAGTGTAATCAACACAGAGGAAGTATATCATGAGGTAGTTGTGGGGTTTGGAAGAGGATTTAAACACAGAACTTTAAGGTGAGAATAGCATGCGAACACATGACTGCTGCCATGGTTACAATCTAGTAGGGAAAGAGAAGAACAAGAATGAAATTAATTCCATACAAAGAGGAGTTAGTTAAGTAAAAAATAAAGGTCCTGGAAAAGAGCAATTAGAAATTTGAGGAGGGGAGAAGAATTTTCACCTGGGGATGTAGAGAATGGGGTATCTGGGAAACTTCTTGTAGAAGTTTTCCTCTGAGCTGAGGAAAAAAAAGACCTCTTTTTAATGTGTATTTCTTTTTCTAAATAATTTCTTTAATGAAATAAGCATTCTTAGTATGTGCCAAACTCTCTACAAATGTGCATTAGGCAGCTAGATGGCAAAGTGGTTGGAATGCCAGACTGGGAGTCAAGAATATCTGAGCTTATTTTATACTAGTTGACCATGGGCCATTCACTGAATCTCTCTCAGCCTCATTGTGAGGATCAAATGAGTTAAGGTTTTGCATAGCTGACAGAGTTACAAAAATGCTAGCTATGATTATAATTTATAATATATTTATGTGAGCATTAATTTTTTTTCCCAGATCCACAACTTCACTGGTGTAAGAAACTCCTTCTAGTGATGCAGATTGGTAATGTACAGTTTGAGGGTGTTTGCCAAGGATACTGAGAGTGTGATTTGCCTGTGCCCACAATGCCACTATGTGTCAGAGGCAGGATTTATATACAAGTCTTCAGACACTAATATTGTCCCTCTATCCTTTATGCTACACTGGCTTTTATGTGTATCTATGACATGTGTATATCTACTTTTATACGTGTCTACTTATGTCCTACTTAGATACCTTACTGTGCTATGAAGGCAAGCCTGGGTTGGTGAAATTATGTGAACAGAGTGGACTCTTTGACAACTGTTACCAATTAGAAAGGCTCTTGACTTAGTATTTAGATTTTTGTACTTAGAATGAATCTTAGAAGCCATAGAGTCCAAACCCCTCATTCTACAATTGAGGGAAGTTAAGAGGCCTGAGATATACATATACACACACACATATACACACATACTCATATAGAATATATACATACATATACAAGCAAATATATATATGGACTAGATCAGTCTATTATATAAATTTTATACATACACACACACACACACACACGTGGCCTGAGGCCACACAGGATTCATATCAGACTTGAATCGAGGTCCTGTAACCTCAGAGTCAATGACTTTCCCATTGCACCATGCAGACTTGCAAGATCAGCATTTGGTAAGTTTGGATAGACTTGTTACCAGATTGTTTTCAAGTTTTTGTCCGTAAGGGTTCTAGGTGTTGTAGTGGATAGAGGGCTGGGTCTGGAGTAAAGAAGACCTGAGTTCAAATTCAGCCTCAGATATTTCCTGGCTATGTGACCATGGACAAGTCCCTTGACCTTTATTTGCCTCAGTTTCCTCAACTGAAAAATAGGGATAATAATAGCAGCTACCTTGCAATATTGTGAGGATCAACTGAGATACCACTTATAAAATTCTTACCATAGTGCCTGAGGCTGTCTCCATGGCCATGTCCGTTTCCGTATCCTTCTCCTTCTCTACAAAGTTTTTGGGAGATGTGCCAATGGGGGGATCACCTACACCAAAGAAATCACAATCCTGAAAGCATCACAGTATAAGTAAACATATATGTATGTGAGACTGTGATATCATAACTACCAAATATCCAGCTGGTCATCTTCTTGCATGTTTGTTTGTGTTATAGGATTATAAGGCTGACATCTAGAGCCTGAGGCTTCATTAGTGGCCATCTAGTCAAACCACCATTTTTTTTAATAGGTGAGGGGACTGAGGCCCAAAGAGATTGAGTCTCTCTCTCATTCTGTATTTCCATATGACTGCTCTCCTTACTGTCTCCTTTTTCCATGTCATACTAGTTCATTACTTGGTGCAGTCTTCTCTGGCTGTTTGGGCACATAGCTTGGTCTCTTCTGAAGTATGTGCAATTCCCTACATAAATGTGGTTCTTAGTTGACCTGTAATTGTTGTTCTGTCATTTCAGTCATTATTAACTCTCCATGACCCCATTTTGGGGCTTTCTTTGGCAAGGTTACTAGAATAGTTTGCCATTTCCTTCTCCAGCTCATTTAAAGATGAGGAAACAGAGGCAAACAGGGTTCAATGACCTGCCCAGGGTCACACAGCTAATAAAGGTCTGAGGCTGGTTTTGAACTCAAGAAGATGAATCTTCCTGATTCCAAACCCAGTGCTCTAACCATTGTACCAATATAGTTACTTCCTTTCAAGTCCACAATGAGTCTTTATGCTCTTTAAATGCCATTAAGTGCCATTTCTGGCACTTCTGTATCTTCTACAGAGCCTATAATACTAGGTACATACCCATCACTCAGTAAATTGTTATTTATTGATTAAATTTTTTAAAAAAATGAATGTGTATATCACTAGGTAGTGATGTAATTTCACTGGAAATGTGACTTCTGAATTTGCCACTGTTTTTCATATTTAAGTCTGATTCAGAGTAGCTTTACAAAACTCATTCTCAAGGTATTTTTTTTTCCAACAAAATCTCTCCTTAAGATAGACACTTCAAAGAAGACTGAATTCTTCTGAATATTCTGGACCACAGAAACAAAGTTCCAGTATTTTGCCTGTTTACCAGATACTGGCAGTGAAATTTCAACACATAATACGCTACTTAAACAGTTCTTGTCTTGGGATCCTATCAAACCTTTCCACTTTTGCTAAAAAATAAAAACAAAATAAAAGCAAATCATGTCTTCTAATTCTTCTTCACCCCTAAAAGGGAAAATATCATGTTATACTCATTCACTCAATAATAAGATTTCATTAAATTTCTAGTCCAACCCCTTCATTATATAGTGAGGAAACTGAGGACCAAAGACGTGAATTATTTGTTTAGTATAACACAGATAATTATTAGAAGAGCCAGGATTTAGACAGATGTATTCCACATTGCCTATCCACCCTCCACTTCCATTTTGTATACTGTCATTAGAGGGGTTTTTAAAATTATACTAGTGCTTGACTTTAGAATATGTAATTTATAACCAGAATATTTATTTTAAATATTACTTTTTATTTTAATTAAATTTTTTTCATATGGTTCTAATTCTTGTCATTCAAGCTTTTACGGATCTATGATCTTATCAATGTGGAGTTTTTTTTTAGTGCAGGTGAATGAATAAATGAATAAAGAATTTATTAAGTGCTTATTGTATGCAAAGTATGGTGCTAAACTGGGGATACAGATAGAAAAGTATAATAGACCTTTCTCTTAAGTAGTTTAAGTTCAAATTGGGGAGATAATGCATAGGGAAAGTTTCAGCTTCAATTTAGATGGAAAAGTCTCTTAGTCCTTAGGGCATGATGACAAAGCATAGGTTAATGACTTTTTTCAGTGTGATCACTTAATATCACTAATGCTAGGGCTTTAGGGTTAAGGGTCCTAGGCTGTCTCCATTAGAGTCTGAGACGTGGTGGTGGTTTGATTTGCCTGGTACCTACTGGCTCCTATCTCTCCCTCAGGTGCCTTGATGCTTTGGCTAGCCTGGTTGGCCTGTGCTGTGTTTGGCAGTTGATTGGCAGTTGGTGGAGATGTCTGGTCCTTTCTTCACAAGAATTGTTTCTGCAGATGATTGATGGCTGGGAAAGCTAGACTAGAAACAAGTGGTGTTTGGGTTAAAGGCAGGTACAGTCTGGGTTATCACAACTGATCCATGCTTCTTCATACTGTGAATAAATGATTAGAAAAGTATTAAGTAAGTATGTAAGGTACTGTGCTAAGCCCTAGGAATTCAAAAGAAAAAGTTAGATAGTCTTTACTCTTAAGGAGATCATGCTCTAATTGGGGGAGATAACATATAATAGTTCACCTAAAATGACTAGGAAGTCTTTAGGGCTCTATAGCAGGGCTGATGGTCAGACATAAAGCATAAGGTCTCTTGGGTTCTGTGAGATGCTCATATAACAGGACCCTGTCTCTGGAGGGCATTAGAGGAAAGCTTATAGTAAGGTCTAGACAAGGTGGCAGGGCACATGGTAAAGCAGGGTGATGCTACGTCACACAGGAGCAATAGAATTGGTGACTCTCATATCAGCCTTAGCTACCCAACACCTTGGTACTCTTTCTCTAAGTCTTTTTATATTTCATGGTGCAGCATGTATCTGTCCATCTGTTCTTCCTTACTCTCATCATGTGAGAAGACCATTTCCTTTTCCAATCATTTATTTGCTGGATGCTGTCTCTTATACCACTTCTCACATGTAGGTCATTATTAGAAATAGGCTGAGCCTGCTTATGGCCACCATGTGTGTCTCCCTTGCCCTTTGGGTCATCTGCAATTTTTATTTTTCAATGATTGTGATGTTGGTGGATTTGCAGCTATTTAGCATCACTGGGAGATATTTTTGTTAGAGTGATGACTTTTGTGTCAAAGAGCAGCTTGGGATCATTGACAACCCTACACCACTCCCAAATGCACTCCAGCCCACTCTTCTTCCTATTTAATTTTGGGTCCACCTCATTATCCATCTGTAGCATCTGCACTAGATATATGTATTGATATACTAGCTCAAGACCACCATGAAGATAATTGCAGCTTATATACCAACATCTGGTGAAGTGGATGAAGTTAGGAAATTATTTTAAGAACATGACAAGATCCCCAAACCAAGTTATTGACTCCCTTGGATATTCAAGTAAAATACAAGGGAAAGCATGTGTGGTGTGTGCGTGTGTGTGTGTGTGTACAGGAGTAATTTATCTCAAGTAATAGCTTCTAATTTTATAGTATTTATTCTTAAAAAACCCTTTCTTCACAACCCTTAGCTTAAATTTTGTAGAGTAGTAATTTTAGAAGTGAAATTTGAACCCAAGTCTCTTTTGACTCCAAATTCATTAGTGTTTCCATGACAACACATCGATCATTATTTAGCTGGGAGAAATGATGCTATTTCATGTTCCCAAAATAGTATTTGTTCACAGAAAAGTCACATATCAGTGATATGTGAAAAATTACGTATTTTTTTCTCCCTTGAATGTTTCCAGAGATCCCAATTTTAGGAACCATGGAAAAGAGTAAATTGTCACTTCAAACAAGGAGGTAATTCTTAAAAGGAAAACAAATTAAACATCACTCTCTTATGAAGAAGGTTGATATTTGGATTCAATAATTTTAAAATACCCAAATATTCAAGTGGATCTTTGACCTTATCAATATGGTTGTTGCCTCCACTAATGTAAATCATAGCCCATTCATGTGTGTTCATTTTGTGTGATTCAGTCATGTTCTCCAAAAAAGTCATCAAAGAGAATTCATCCAACCTGTTTGGGTCCTGTCATGTTTTCTCTTGACAACTAGAGGACAGTGATAAAGAATGTGGGTTATTAATTAGTTAATCCTATACTCTCACCAGGTCATTTGCCCATATCTTTTGATCATAATCTTTTTGGATGACACACCTTGCACTGCATTGCCTTCATAAGTCCTTGTTTGTTATGTGTTACAGACGGCTCACATACACACCATACACATTTCTGTTTCCCTTTGGGTGATCCTCAATTTAATTTCTTTGGGGCTTGCAATATTCCTTAACTCTTTGTCATAAAACAGCACGGGAAGAGTGTTGATATTAAGTAAAGATGGTCTTTTTGTTTCAGGAAGAAGCTTAGGAACATTAAAAGAACTTTGCAGTTTCCCAAAGGCAATTCAGAACCCTCTCCTCCTATTAAACTATGTGTGTGTATGTATACTTAACTTTTTTCTCTATATACTCTGTAGAAAGCTGCCATGACAGCTGATTCCACTATTTCATTTTCATATATATGACTATGGTATATCAAAGCACAGCATACAAACAGTGGGAACATGTACATGCATACATACAAGCACATATATATATACATGTACATTTATATACACATGTCACTATTGGCACCACATGTGTACATGACACACCCATGTATGTGTGTGTATGCATACATACCTACCTACACTCATCGACATATGTGTGTATATACACACTCAATGAAAAGCAACCCTGGAGTCAGAAAAACCAGAATTTATATCTGGGCTTTGACATATAATAGCAGTTTGACCCTGCACAAGTCAATGGATTAATTCCCTTAGTGTCTGAGGAAATTCTTTAAGACTAACAATTCCAAAGAATTTGTTGATCTTTATTCACATAGAGTTGTTCAATCTAAAGTATCTATGACAATGAAAGTATATGGGTATGTGTTGGGGGAGGAGAAAGCTAGGTGGTGCTGTGGATAGAGTACGGGGCCGGGAGTCAGGAAAATTCATCTTCCAGAGTTCAAATCTGGCCTCAGAAACCTACTGGTTGTGTGACCCTGTGCAAGTCACTTGATCCTGTTTGCCTCAGTTTCCTCACCTGTGAAATGAGCTGGAGAAGGAAATGGCAAACCACCCTAGTATCTTTGCCAAGAAAACCCTAAATGGGATCATGAAGAGTCAGCACAACTGAAAAACAACTGAACAAGAACTTAAATTTGTATGTTTGTGTGTGTGTGTGTGTAACACACATACATATACATATATTCTAATTGATAGAGAAATAGCTGTATATGTGCATATGTATGGCAATATAACATATGTTTATATTTATTACTATGAGAAGGTTGGGGTTATACAAGGTGAAAACTGTGCTTCTTAGTTGTATTTGGGGGCAACTATATTAAATCTCAACCCTCTTTTCTAATGACTTATCTTCAAGTTAATTCCTTTTCACTCTCTCTGGGTTTGAAGGCCATCTAGTGAGTATATGCTAGAATGTGCTCAGAATTTAGCAGAATTATAGAAATTCTCTAAGTGGCTTGGCTCTTGCCCTATAGTTGAATTGGGAAAATCTCTGTTTCTTTAGGATAGCTAGCTTCTGTATCTATGTTAAACTATGAATTTATTACTGTTAGTGGATATATCCTTAATTAGTAGCATCAAGTGATGAGGGGAAGGGGAGGAGTCTTTCTCCCCATCCTAGGTGATAGAATTAAATGAAAGAATAATTCATAGAAAGATAAGGTATTAGGGTTAAATGAAGTTTAAAGACATTTTTAAGGCCTCTTGATTTATAATGAGTGTGAAGGAGTTTCCCCATAGAGTTAAAAAGGCAGCTTTTCCATTGGTTGTCTGAAGATTGACCATCCTGAAGTTCCTTAAAAAATAAGTTTGCTAGTTCTGAGTCAGTCAAATAACATTTGAAGCAGGAAACAGCTTTGTGAAGACAACTTAATGTACCAATAGCAATAGGGAGGAGGAGCAGAATTGTCTGTCCTTTTCCCTGCTACCTTGACTTTTGTAGTCATTATTCTTACTGTACTATCTTAATATATGACTTTGCTTTTTGTTAATTTTGAGTATGCGCTGACTCTTAAATGTAAGTGAACCAGTAGGGGCTTGTTAACTATAGTTTTAAGAATATAGACCCACAGTTTACCTTTTGAACCTGGGAACAGTAACTATTCCCTGGGAGACTGAATCTATGAATGTAAGTGAAAATTGAGGGAATAGTCCTTAGAGAGGGTGGTACACATATAACAAAAGCACAGATAAATAAACAATCAAAGAAGCCAGGAGGCTGTCGTGGGAATTACAATGAAGATCAACTTTGTCTACTTCATCCTCCTCCCAGGTCTGTTTCTCAGTTAATATTAATTATTGTATCAGATTTAATT